GATAGGTCCAGCCCCTTGCAATATATATTCTCTAAAGTACAGCACCTGGCAAGAAGGTTATAAGGAGACTCGTGTGTATTTCAAAAGGGCAAAAAATGAACCTGCAATTACAAATTGCAATTACATTTCTGAAGAAAATGCTCCGATAAAATGGAGGTCAGAGGGCTGCAATCAGGAAAAAGCTGCCTAAAGGTTGGTGACTCTGAGGAACATTAAGTTCCCTGGGTCATAACAAAACTGGTTTCTGCACAGTGGAGGGAAACACAATTAAATCTCTTTCAGCCAAGACCCAGTTTGCGTCTCCATCAGTTCCTGCAGTTTACAAAGAGGTGTCGGTTCTGAACATAGTGGGTAGGCACAGGTGCACGATAGCTGAGAGTCCTTGAACAGAGTCAAGATTTCATCTCCCAGGAGGCTGTACTTTTATATTTCTCTGAAGTCACCTTTTATTTTTTTCTCAAATGTCATATCAAACAAAAGAGAGTATTCTTGATCTTACAACATGGCTCCTGTAATTTGTTTTGTCCCGATTAATTACTGAAGTGAAGAGAAACTGACATTTGTCCCATAGTTAGCTCTGATGCAGGTTTTTCTATAAAACATAAGACGGGTGTTTAACAGCTTTTTGAAGTTAGGAAGCTTCACCCTCACACTTTACCTGCAGTATCTCTAGCTTTGGGTGATGTCCTCTCTTTCAAGGTATACAAAAAAGCCCATCAGGTCAAATTGGCCCCATAAACAGTGAGGTCATTTCTAATTCCTTGGACATCAGTCTGAACTAGGACATTTGAGCTAAAGCCTTGGTTTTATTACCAAAGTTTCCAGTTGCATCGTATTTACCCAAAGAACAGAGAAGTACTGAAGTAATGCAAATAATTGTATTGCTATATAAATTAGAATAGTCAAGAGACTTTAAAAATCTTTCAAAAGACATCAAAGAGAACAACAAAGATCAGTGTTTCTGCTCACATGGGTGCCCTCTTGTCCACTCCCATTGTCTACAACAGTGTCCAGGTGCCTCCACGTGTTTGCATGGAGAAGGGACAGAGCTCCGGTTCTGTGAGCTCTTCACCTGCCCCCATGTTATCACACGACCACTGCTCATCCTCCGAAGGCTACAATGTCCCCTCCGCTGTGGACATGGTACACGTGAGACCAAACTGAAGTAGGGCTTGGTCTGAAATGTGACCTTAAGTCAACAATAATGACAATGTCAACTCACATTGTTACGTATTTATTGACTCGGCGCAAATCTTTTAAGAAATATTCTCCTTCTGAACAAACCTATTGTAATAATGCAAAAAAATCTTTATTTAGAGTTTAATAACAAAGAGGAGGGGAGGAAGGTCACTCATTTTTCACATGCAGCTCAAGGGCCCAACTTTCAGCAGAACTGATGGGGTTGTAGACTTTACACTGGTAATACCCAGCATCCTCCCTCTGTACGGGGTCTATGGTGAGGCTTCTGTGGTTCTGGGACAGCGTCATTCTCTCTGAGAGGTGCAGATCCATGCCATTGAACAACCACTCAGTAGATGCTGCATTTGTGACACAGGTCAAGACCACGGAATCTTTATTCTCTGTGACTGTGCTGTTGCTGGCTAGGAGGGTGGGCTCTCCCACAGGCCCTGTGGAGAAACAGGGAAAGTGCCTGACTGAGAATGGCCTTGAGACATGGAGCCACGCTGCTTCCTCAGAGATCTCGGCCACTCACAGCCCACAGTGAGCTCTGTAACAGTCACCCTTGTGGGCCATTTGTGTTACCTACGAGATAGAAATTTAGAAAACCTTAAAATTCTTCCATATGTCAAAATTACTATTAATACCCCAAGGCCTGAGACCAATGACAAGAAAGCTTATTTCATTAGAGAGCAGAAAAGTGTCTGAGATACGGGGCTCAGTCCCTGAAGGACAGAGAGCCTGAAACATATGGCCAGAAATCCAAGGACTCTGCATCCAGGTTCCAGGCTCTGAAGAGATTTTGGATCATTCATTCATTCATTCATTCAATCACCATTTCTTTCTTCCTAATTAATCAAAAGCAACTGGATGTTTGTTGTATGTTGGTCCCTGAGCTGGTTTCAGGGGAAGAGTAGGGATTGAGAAGGCATTTTTTTTTTCTTTATACTCCAGTGGGAATGACACCAACACATCAGGAAACAAATAAATTATTTCAAGTCCAGGGCAGGGAGGTGGGGATCGGCCACCTGAAAGGAAGGCCTGGGAGTTCCCGGAACTGCCTCTGATTGTTACTGCAGGTAATGCAGTTCTGGAGTAAAAACAGATTAATTCTCCATTTCCTTTCATTCTGTGAAACAATGCATCCCTCTGAGTTGAGGATGTCTAAGAAAAAAAATTATCTGAACCAATGGTTGGTTTAAAAATCCACAGACACCTCATAAGGCCCCCAAGGTGGGTGCAAAAATAAGGCTATGGCTATAGACTTACTTCAAGTGACTGACCAGCTGCTCATGGTCTGTGTGACTCTGCTTTAATGACTCTCTCTCTCTCTCTGTTTCTCAGTTTATTCTCAGTGAAGGAGGATGAGTCATTGGCTGTTAGGTTTCAACATATTAATCATAAAATATTTACAGTATCTGACCTAAATCCTAGGACAGAAGAGCTGCTCAGATAAGAGGCATCTGCTCTGGATTGACTCTGAGAGTTCCCTGAGTTGACTCCTGGTGAACACAGAGCTGCTAGGAGCATTTTCTTTTCTCAGTTTCTTTCTGGGGATGCTGACCTTTTTCTGAATCTGAGCTTTGCTAAGTCCCCCAGGACAGTCAGCAAAGATCCAAAAACTTTGTCTAACTGTGCTCTCACACCCAGTCTCAGGCGATGGACTGAACTCCATTTTTGCCAAGATGTGGCTCTTGGGCCTGAGCCCTGGCTGGAACTACCTCAGGAGCCTTGTTCCTTGGGCACGTGTTAAACCATTACCCAATTGCCCTTTCCAAGAAGGGCAAACCCAACCTGGCACAGGCTCCCCAAGGTCCCTTAAGTGAAGATCCCTGGGACAGGAATCTGGGAGGGGCTCCTAGGAGGAGCTCTTGTAAGAATTTCAGGAGGCTCTTTAGATAAGGGTTTGATAGAGGCTTGCAGGGTCATTCTCACGGTCAAGGTCATGGGAAGGTGCTCAGGGGACTGAACTGAGACTGGTCTCCCTCTGCTGAGTTATTCTCATCTGGCTGGTCCTTCTATCTGCAGTGAATATCTTGCAGGGCTGGAATCTGGGAAGGGAACTGAGGTGCTAGGAAGTTTGTTTCCACTGTGTGTGTCCTGCATTAATTGCCCCAACCCAACCAGGGACAGAACGTGGAAGAGAATGAAGGCAAAGTTGAGGACTGTCAGCCCTGTGTGTGAAGTAGAATTCACCCCACTTGACACCGAGAGGTCAGAGAGCAGTCACTCACGGTACACATGAAGCCGTCCGAATCCTATTTCTTTTATTGAGTTGGGAAGGTAGGCCACTACGGTGTACATCCCTCTGTCTCTCATGGTGACCTTCTTTATCACCAAGGATCCATCGGCTAGCATTCTTTCTCGTCCACGGTGTTCAGGCCCTCTTTCAAATACTTTCACTGGGGTTATTAAAGTAGCTGCAATTAGACGACTGGGTCTTGCCCCTTCCCCTCTGTACCACCTGAAGCCTTGAGCATCTGGAGGCACGTTGCGGAATCGTAGGAATGCGTCCTTCCCTTCAGCAACATTCTTTGACACAATAGCGAACTGGGCGTTTGTGGGTGGGCACCAGAAGGTTGAGAGTGAGACTAGGAAAGAAGAGAGACATTGATCAATATTTGGATCTATGTATTAGGAGGGAAAGATGAGGTCCTGGGTCCTGAGCAGGTCTCTTCATCTCTCAGCCTTGGTCCACATGTGAGTGTGTGTCTCCCATGGTCAAGGTTGGTGGTAAAGGCATATCTAGTACCCCTGGTTAAGTTTTTTCTTTTTTTCTGGTGTTACCTGACATAAATTGTTATAATGTTTTAATAATTCAACACTCAGCGTTGAATAACTGGAAATGAACAGCAATCGCGGTTTTCCTGCCTTGCGCCACTTCCACATTATGAGATTTCCTCTTGCTGAGCTCTGTCCCCATCCTACTCTGCTCTGTTTTCTTTTACCTTCACATCCAAACAGAAGCCTTCATCTTTTGTCAGAGCTCAGGTCTCTTTAGAGGATCCCAGCCTGGCTCTATGTCAAATTTTTTCGTCTACCCCAGGAGACTGTCTCCTACTTACCAGCCAGCAGGAGCCCTTGCCAGTGGACAAGTCCTCTGTGGGTGGAGACTGAAAGGGGTCCCATGGTGGCTGTGCCTGCTCTGTGGCTCCTCTCCAAGAAAAGCTTGAGGATCTGTGAGCTCACAGGCAGCTCTGTCCAGACTGGTGCAATCTGCTGTGTGTCCTACCTGTGCGCTGAGTTTTATGCTGGGGCAAGATTGCTATTTTTGTCATGAGGGCTGGGGGTGGGTCTGTGGCCCGGACCCTCCCACTCCCTGACCTCATTTATGCCACTCCTGTCCCTTCTTACCAGTTTACTGTCCTTCAATATTTTGGTTCCTGGGAACCACTGAGGCCTCTAGACACTACACACACAGACACACACACAGGCACATGCACTACTACACACTCACATGCAGTGTTTGGAAAAGCACAAGCCTGGGGTGTCTGGGTTCCGGGCGGTCCCCACACCTTCCTGTCAGGTGCACAGCAGCCGTTCCCACAGCCTCTCTCTCTCACATTTGACTTTTCCCTCCAGAGAAAAATTTCCAGAGCCACCTCAGAAACAGCCGTCACAGGGATGTCACCCCTGCTGTGCGTTGCATCACCTGTGAAACTTCGTGAACATTGCTATGCCAGGTGACACTTTAAAAATGCTGCTTCAGCAGCTGTCCAGCTAATGTGATGTCCATTCAAGATGAGATCCCTTGATGTGAAGATAGAACCACTTCTCCCTCTGTTCTGTTCACAGGAGAAGTCTCCAGATCCCATTAAACTGCAGATTCTGGGGTGCAGTGGGTCAGAGACTCTGCATCTGACAAGCTCTCAGGAGAGGTTGGTCCCACTGGCCTGGGGAGCTCACGTGCAATAGCACGGCTGAGGGGGGGCGCCTGTGTCCCTGGGAGGATGACCCCCTCGTGCCAGCGTTGGCCTCTGCTGCGCCTTGGCCTTGTGTCTGTCGGCAACACCTAGAGAGCCCCAGGTCTCCCCCCCGAATTGTGAATTATTTCTGTGTGTGACTCAGAAACCCAGCTGGGAGTCCAGGCTGCTTCATGTTCTCAGATGCTCTGAGAAGGTTCTATTCGCTCCCAGCAGGAAGGTCACAGAGATGACTTTGGGGGTGAGAAGGGGTCAAGCTGGGTGATAACTGCGGAGGGATCCCTTCTTCCGTCTCAGGCTGTCATCAGACTGGATTTTGCTCCCAGGGACAAAGACTCAAAATCAGAAGTCTCAATAGGACCTGCACTTTTGGGGTGTGAAGTGGGGAGTGTCCTGCGTGTCCCAGGGAGAAAGGACTGTTTTGGAAGTTCAGGTGCCTGTGGGCTTCCTGGTCATGAAGGGACGGGTGCAGGTGGATGGACCACGACTCTCCATGTCTGTGTGTCGGGCCTGCCCTTGTGCTCCCTGGCTGTTGGGACAGCCTCTGGTTTCTGCCTGGTCCCCTTTCTTGTGGTCACCAGACTTGCCCACAGATGGTGCTGGGCCTGGGGCAGAGAGCAGCACAGACACCCCTGAGACAGGAGGGGCTCCCAGGCCCTGCCAAAGTAAGAAAAGTCCAAACCTGTGCAGCAATGTAATGAGTTTATCTGAGCCAAACTGACCTCATATGCCTGGGAGCAAGACCTCAAATCCTGCAAAAAACAGCAGTTTTGCAGCTTATTTTATAGATTACAATCAAAGGAGAAGATGAAAATAGTTGTTAGCTCCATTAGGAGGAGAGAAAAAGCATAGCAGATAAATCTCTATAATTAGATGAAAGTTAAAATTGGCAAACACATACTTTTTTTTACATGGGTAGGTACAGAATAGTTGACATTTGCAGGGCCTAGGGAGGGTGTGCAGGGGACAGGTAACAGGAAGGGTGCTGGGGTCTCATATGCTTGTCCCAGAGTCTCTGCCAAAGTTATGCTATCCCAGATGTGTGACCCCAGGGACCAGGGCTCACTAAGGAAGGTAGGGGCCTGGGACATGATGACCTGCCATCACCTGCCCGGTCAGAAATGTCTACTCAGAATATTTTGTATGGTCCCTTTTGGTCACTGAGCTTGTCAGGCCTGCCATGGGGCCCACTGAGCTTGTTAGGTTTCAAGAACAGCAGTTTTGCAGCTTATTTTATACATTAAAATCAAAGGGGAACATGAAAAGTCACATGAAATCCATTGCCAGGTAAAAGAAAGCACAGTAGAGAAATCTCTAGAATTAGATAAAAGCCTAAATGGAGATACACATACTTTTTACATTGGTGAGTACAAAATAATTAATAACAATAGTAGCTTACAGGACATTGAGAGGGTATGCAGGGGACCAGGTAAAATGAAGTATGTTGGGGTGTCATACACTGGTTGCAGAGTCTATGCCTTCAAATGGTCTAGCCAAGAAAATCACTCTGATGTGTCAAAGTTCTGCTATGTAAAATGCGTAAAAACAGGGATCAGGGCTCACTTAAAGACAAGACTGACCTTCGCTAAGCAAGGTATAGGCCTGGGACATGACGACCTGCCCTCACCTGCCCAGTTAGAAATTCCTGACCAGAATAGTTTGTGAGGTCATTTTGGCCACTGAGCTTGTCAGGGTTGCGGCACAGCCCCTTTTGTTCACAGCCTCTAGAAGTAGCAGGTGGGGCAGAGCAGGCAGGAGGGAGGGCCCGAGAAAGGCCTGGTGAAGCAGGGGGTGAAAATCAGGCTCCTTCTCCATCTTCTTAGCCAAAGCCAAGTTCATGTGTGAGTTTCCTGGGGGGGGGGGGGGGGGCGGGGGTGTGCGCGCGCGCGCGCGCGTGAATGTTGCTTCCTGGTCAGGAGGAGACCTGCAGCCAATGTCAGGTGCTGCACAGGGACGCCGCACAGTGCAGGGTGAGCCCAGTGAAAAGGGAGGCGTTGTCCAGAGCGCTGAGTCCCGTGGCAGGAGAGCTGTCCCACCAGGGGGAGGTGCTGTTTCAGACAGAGCCCTCTGCTTTCAAGGGTTCAAAGGAAGGGCTTGGTTAAGTTTCTCCCGAGGCTTTTGGGAGAGCGTGCTGGCTTGACAGGTTGACCCCCCAAATGTACCAGGTGTCCTCCATCACTGCATTGGGGCATTGCAGGTAACTCCTCTGTGTCCCTGTCTGTTATCTCCCCACAGGACCCAGGAGCTGGAGTGTCTTCACATGAAGACTCAACCAGGAGCCATGTGGGTTCTTCTGTGAGGGGAAGGGAGGTTCTTGTGAAACCCTCAGCCCCTCTGAGATAGAAGAACCACAGATTATGGGTTCTCCTGTTCTAGCCTGTACAAAAAGTTTCCCTGGTTCCCCAGGGCATCATGAACTGGTGAGATGTCTTCAGAAGAAACAGGCAGATGTTCCACAAACCAGAGACTCTGGGAACAAAAAATAATCCACTGATTTTTTTGAGGTTAGTGTGTGTTCCTTCCTCCCCTGGTAGTGAGTCTACTAGGGGTTAAGGATCCAGAGTTTCTGTCAGGTCAGGTATCTGTGAGAATAGGCAAAACACAGGCCTGGGGTGATCAGACAGAACGCACAAGGTGGGTCTGTGGAGGCTGTGGTTTTCTGAAAATAAAACGTGTTCCAAACTTTCACTGTTAGAAGGTTCCTCTCCTGCCTCCTGAATGTATGAGAATTAAAGACCTGACCCTGGGTTGTCCCCAAGCATGTGGCAGCCACCTCTCATGTTGACACCTATGCTTTTATGACTGTAAGAAACCTACTTTGAAAATGTCACAATGAGTGATGGGCTGCCATTGTGTGGTCTTCCTTATCAATTTAATGAGTGTTTACTGAGCATCTGTGATGTGCCAGGCTCTTGGCTGGGTCCTGGAAACTTAAAAGAGAACAAGACATGTGTGGGCGCTGTGCTCCTCCAGTTTGCCTTGTAACAGGGGTCGGCTCTCACAGAAATCACGGCTTTAATGAATGAATTATAAACCAGGGAAGGGCCATGAAAAACATATTTGGTGCATACACATGTACTTGAGTCTCAGGTGGTCTGGGCATCACAGAAAGCACTTTTGAGAAAGTGATCTCTTGGCTGAAACCTCAAGAGTTAGTGGCCATTTTCCGGTTGAAGAACGGAGGGTGTTAAAAAACACTGCCTGCAGAGGACTGAATTTTGGTGGGCTGACCCTTGCCTGGATGGAGGGGCAGCCGCTGTGCACATGGGGAGCTTGGAGAGGGAGGATGACTGTAAAACCATTAATGCTGGTGAGAGCGGGCCGTGCTGCGACGTGAGCGCAGCTGAGGTGGCTTCAGCCCAGGAAAGATTCCGGGCATCAGAGTACTTCAGCCGCCCCCTAGTGGACAAGCAGAAAAATGGGCGAGAAAAAGTCTTGCTAGAGTAGGTATTTTTTGAGTTTTGGATATTCTATGCAACTTTTACTTTAAGCAATATATGTGTATATAATTTTATCATATTTATTGTGTTATACTGAATAAAATAAGCTTAAAATATTTAAAGTGTACAACTTATGACTTTTTTTCCAGATGCAGGCACCAGAGACGCTGTCACAAAGAGGATGATGAACATGTTCCTTACACTTGGAGCCTCTTCATGCTCTCTTGCAATCTCTTTATTTTACCACTCTCCACTTCCTAACCCTGTCTTAAGGAAACTCTTATCTGTTTTCTGTCATGATAAATTCATTTTCATTTTCTAGAATTTTCAAAATTTGAATCATACAATATGTAATTTTAGGCGGAGTTTGGCAACTTGACTCAACATAATTATTTTGACATAGTTCTTTCTTTTATCCTTTAGTGCTGTCTCATTCCAGGGATGCATTAAAATGTGTTTATCCATTCATCACTTCATGGACTTTTTTTGGTTTCTATTTGGGGCTATTACAAGTAAACCTCCCATGAACACTTTGCAGAAAAGTCTTTAACCCAATAAATTAGGTGCTTGTACACAATTGAAAAGGTAGAGAAATGGAAGGTAGGGAGTCACCCCTGGAAGCCTGGTCTCAAGGTGGCACGGCCACAGCCCCACCCAGAGGGAAAGAAACACCTGCTCCTTCACAAGAAGCTGCGTCTGCCCCAGCCCGCCCAGCAGCCGCTCAGCAGCAGAAACAATGGCCCCATATTCCTTTCAGCTTCTGAATTTAACACAAGTGCACCTCAGGAGCTGAGTTTGATTCACATATGGACTTTCAATCACTAGGATTAGGGGAAAGGTAGTTTTTACACTTTCAGTCCCTTTGATATGAGAAAACATAAAAGAAAATGGAGCATAAATGCCACACGCTCATCAGTAGTACATGACATGTCTGAGTCCACTTGTAGGCTGTGTGATTCTGGGTGAGTGATGCCACCTTAAGAAAACATCAGTTTTCTCATATGATATTATAAAAAGATATTTGATCTTCTTTCCTGAATCTTAGGCAAGACCAGCTAAAACTCCTGGAATTTTCTAAGTGATGAGGGCAATAAGAGTGTCTTTCATTGTGGTGAGGCAACTCTTGACAGGCCTCAGGATAGTTGCAGAGTGAGGTAGGTCACCAGAAAGATGAAGGTTTGATCAGAAGCTTGGAATTTTTCAGCTGTCAACATAAGAAATGTCTAAACCTGTAGAGAATTTTTATGCGTCTATTTGAGCCAACTTAATGACAATTGTTGGGGAGCAAACTCTCAATGGATTGAGAATATGCTCCAGAGAATGGCAGTTTTGCACCTTATTTTATACTGTACAGTAAAAATCAGAGGCCTGAGGGGTTACATAAAATCTATTGGCAATAGATTATGGAGGTGGAAGAAAGTAAAGAAATCTGAGACTGGTAAAATGTAAAACAAATAGACACATACTTTTTTTATGTTGGTTGTTACAGAATAGGGAGCAGTTCACAATTAACACAATAACAATTACAATGAAAAGATTTTTTGTCTCTGGTCTGGTGCAGTGAAGTGTCTGTAAAAAAAGCAATTATTCTAACATTATAAAGGTATGTTATGGTAGACACAAAAAGACAACAGTCTCAGTTAAGGCAAAGATTGAAAATTATCCAAAAGATGTTGGCCTAGGATCCATCTACCCACCTTGATTTGCATTTAGTTAAAAGTTTTGATTTCAGACCATCCTATGTGGTTACTTTATTTCTCTGAGTTTGTAAGTCCCACCATGCAGGCCTCCCCTGAGCTTGTCAGATTTATTATGTGGCTTTTCTTTTTTTGTCCACACTTCCCCTTTTTGGTTATAAATCAATGGAAAGAATGCATCGATGACCAATCTTTTGACTAGATAATACTTTCTCACAGTGCTAGGAAGGGATTGTTAGGGATTCTTAGAGGCAGCATTTGTCCTGCTGAACGATCAACCATTGGTGATGCAGCAAGACCTTGACCTTGAGTGGAGGTCAAAGCTGAATGTTCTCAAAAGTGAAAAGCAGGTAAATAGGAAGTAGTCGGGTCCCCCAGGCCTTTATTAAGAAAAAACACTCTGGATCATTTATAATTTATAAGCTATCATAATCTAAGTTGTACTTTCTGTCTCGTTTCTCTGTATTTTGCATCTTGTATAACATTTACATGTAGTTTGAGGGCACACTGCACACCAATCCAGTTTTAACCGTATGACCATGAGTTGGGGTCTCATTTCCTGTGGCCAACCTATGATGCATTATGAATTATTCAATAATAATCTGATTTTGCTAGTTGTACACTAGGATGCTGTAACCTTAAGGTCTATTTGCAGAAGAGAACACAATGCTGCGAATTACATTTAGTATCTAAAAGTTCCACAGGTGAGGAGGACCGTGCGAGTTTCATAGGTACGTGACCTCTGCCTCAGCAGCGGGTACAGAGGCCGTGTTTACAGCCACTTCAGCTTCCATTTGAATGTTACAGTTAGTAGACCTTGTTGAGTAGGGTGTACGGACATTCAAATAATTAGGTTCAAGCATTTATGCATAAAATCCCTTTCTCAATATTTCTATTCCCGTAACCTACAAATTTCATTGATCTCAGTAGTTTGTCTCTTTTTACTCATTCAGAAATAACCAACTTATTAGGACAAACTACTTACTTTTAATTTAAGTACACACGCATCCTTATTTTTTTTTCTTTTTGCAGTAGCGTTTCCTCTAAATTTCAAAATGTTACCAGAAAGGGAGCCTAACCCGGGGCAGACTGGCCTAAAACCAGCCACTAGTGTGTGGGTTCCTGAGTTCGCACAGGAAAAATTTTACAAAAGAAGCACAGTTGATTTGGGTGCAAGTTGACTAAAGCTGGGGGCCGTAAAACAAGGATGGGCCTAGAATAAAAAAGGAGCAGAAGAGAGACTAGGTGGGGCTGCTTTGATTCTCTTAAAATATTATGGGAAAGAGGCCCTGGCCTAGTTAGAGCACCGTCCTGACATGTGAAGGTTGTGGGGTCGATTCCCCAGTCAGGGCACAAACAAGAGTTGACGAATGAATGCATCAATAAGTGAACAACAAATTGAAGTCTCTCTCTCTCCCTTCCTCCCTCTCTCTAAAATCAATAAATAAAATTTAAAAAAAAAAGGTAAGAAAAACCATTATGGGAAAGATGTGAGACTAAGAGGGGCTGCCATCAGCCTATTGAAGAATCAGAATTAAGGGGCTGTGGGGACAGGTTCAGGAGGTTTGCCCGGGAGGAGCTCCCACTGCTCACTGTGGTCCTGGTTGCACGTTTCATGAAGACCCCTTGTTTAGGCGGAAGAAAATCTACTTGAAAAGGAGATTTCAGTCGGTGTGCCTCAAGAAGAATGCATACTGGTTTCTTTGTCTCAGTGGGTTCTGTTCTGCTTTTGAAAGGTAAATATTTTAGGTGAGGTCTCAGGGAAGAGCTCAATAATATAGTTATCCGCTTTTTCAGGTGTGCCCTTTCAGAGTCATGATCTCCAACAACTGGTTGTTGCCAGGGCAGAAGTTTCAAATTGCATGACCAGCAATTTGCCAGGTGAGGAAAGGCCACCCTGCTGATAAGGTCCAGCCCAGGTTTGTTCATTCCTAAGCTCCTGAGGCTTTTCACCTGGTGAACTTCTATATTTGGCTATAAATTGCTCACCTGCTTTGTTCAGCAATCTGTCTCAACTTCCACAGTTCATTTTTCAAGAAATATTGCTAGTTTCTTGCTAACCTGTCTTAAAATTGGAAACCATAAAAAGGGCATTTTTGATAACACGGAAGTTATCGTATACACATGTAGAAATGAACAGTTGAGCTATATATACAAGGTTTGAGAAAAGCCCAAAGAACAGGTATAATTATTATTATAACTAATATTAGCAGACAGGCAAAGACAATGAAACTAATAAAGTTCGACATCAATTTGTAGGTGTAGAGGTCTTATCAATGTCCTGGGATAGCTGGCTATCTGCGACGTCAGCAACTTCTCATCATTGACAAGTGTTTGATTCCTTTAAGTGGAGGCAAATGTCAGAGACAAGGGCAGGTGTTCATTCATTGTTGGGAACCTGATAAGGTTTTTCCTACAGTGTTGAAGAGTTTTTAATTGATGTCTTTTCCCATAGATAAAAGAAGTCATGTTCTTTGAAGTTATCATTTGAGGCCGGTACTGCATCCTGTGCAGAGTCTCCCCGAACCCCCGGGAGAGAGGAAAATAAAATAAAGTCCTTCCAGACACTTCTTGGTCTGCTAGGAAAAGGGGATGGTGATTCCATCTAGTGGAGAATGCCCCTTGCCCTTCTCTTGAAGTGGCTTTCATTGAGAGCCATATGTGCAGGGGTATACAGCATGAATGCAAAGCTCATCAATCAATGTCAAAAGGCTTTGTCTACAGAAAACAGATAGAGATCATAGGTAACAACTGAAGGAACACAAAGATTTGCCTCAGGTCAGGGTCTGGTAGACAGGGTGCTGCCCATTCAGCCCTGAAACCTGGGAAACTGACCACATTCTATGCTCGTCCCCAAACATCAGTACTCCTTAACTCAAGGGCATTCTTAGTAAAGTAAGTTTCATAGGACTTAGTGCATTCCTCTTCCAGGCCTAATTGTTCCCCGGAACCACCCAATCCAGTTTAGGGCTGTACCTGCCTTTAGTATTGTTTCAAGCCTGAGCCGGGAGCGGGGAGCAGAGCAGCCAAGAGATAAGGAGACTCCTGTCAGGTAGAATGAGGACTCCGGTCCTGACAAAGCCGAGGGTGAGGGTCTTTTGCCCCTTCTCCGTGTCCCCCAAGTCCTTCTCTGGCCGCTATATTAGGTACAGAAAGGAAGAAACTGACAGAATTCTTAAATGTGATGAGAATTCAGTGGATATTCAATAGAACCAGGAACATAAACAAAAAAAAGCCCATTGCTATCTTTTCTGCCTGTTTACATAATGTGTCTGTAGCAGGTGGCTGCCATGCAGGGAGCAAGTCCTTTGGCTTCTCAGACTAATTGCTGACTGTCATATCATATTCTATAGGTCTGTGATGCTCTCTATGGTTTTGAGTTAAAACTTCCAAAATATTTTTTGTTTTGTATAAACATTTAGAAGTTTATACTTAAGGTGTTTCAGAGCAGGAGCGTTAGATAAGGCTTTAGAGATTTTACAGCTTGTTTTCCTTTTGGGCTATAATGAATGCGATCAGGTCAATTTGAGTGTAATAGAACATATAAAGTCTGCAACATTAATAGAATTTCGGTGACAGATTGTGGCAATATCCAGTGAATCTCAGTATATTCTAAGTTGCTTTTTTTAAGAGAAAAATTATTATTCCTCTGTGTGTTTCAGATTAAAAATGTACCCATGTGTAGATAAGAAATGGCCAACTTATTTTACTTGAGGT